TCCTTGTTATAATTATGGTATAATATACCCCGAAGAAGGCCTATATTACCCTTGTAGGGTTGAGGATTTAAGCCGAACATAGATGCCGCCTTCCTAAGGAAGTATGACAGGAAATCAGAGCCAGGAACCGCAAAATGGCAGGTGCATGGGGTTTGGGCTTTATGGCCAGGATCAGGACGGAACCCCCAGGACTGAACCACTGGTTAAAAACACAGGCAGTTATTATTAGGATCCACGCCAAGAAAACCCAAAACACAAATCATGCGTCTGAACCGGGCCAAATACATCATCATAGCGTTTCGGTAGTTTTGGGTCGGTTTGGGGCTGAGGGTTCAAGATACGGCTTCCCTAGAGTTTTGTTTTCGGGGTTTACGGCTTAGGGTTTGCCCTAAACCCTAAACCCTAAACCCTAAACCCTAAACCCTAAACCGTTTAGAGTTCATGGTTTCGGGCGTTGGGCCGGGGTCTCAGATTGAGCTTCGAGGCTTCTTAGAGTGACTGCTTTTGCTGCGCAAAGGCCCGCGATTCTAGGGCATTGGGCGCATACACCCTGCATTCCCCAAACGAGCCGCGGGCTTCATGTGGGAGTTTCCGAAAATCGGGGACCCAAATATAGTACCCCAAATAGTAGGATCCTTATTATAAGGACCCCAAAATAAGGTACCCCTAATTTTCGGAAACTCCCATGTGTTTCATTGGCTAAGGGTACTATTCCTAAGCGGAGCCCCTAATTCCATCAGGATGCCCATGTTTGCTAAAGGCAGAAATCTCGCTCGTGTTCGAGTGTTCAGATAAGATTACAGCAGGTCAGACAAGATGCTTGATCTCAGATTCAGTGGTTGCGCTATCTCGCTCCCTTAGCAGAGCAGTTTCCGACCATAAAATCACTGCCACAAGCCGAAACAACTGTAGTACTGCCTAAATGGGATCCCTAAACCCTAAACCCTAAACCCTAAACCCAAAACCCCCAAACCCCAAAACCCTAAACCCTAAACCCTAAACCCTAAACCCCAGGCCTGCATTGAATCCTTATAAACACCATCGACCCTAAAGCAGAAACCCTCGATGCTGCAATCTCCAGCTTGACCCTTGACATCTTGAAGCCTCTCACAACCCCTCTGAAGCCCCAGAAACCCTAAACCCTGAGACCTAAACCCTGAAACCTCAACCCTAAAACCAAAACCCTCAA